AACAATAATATTCGATCGCTTGTTCATAAAAAGTTGATTTATTAAAAATAGCGCTTCATTAGAACATGACTTTGTACAAATTGCAACGTGCAGAAAATAAATCGCTTGTTTTTGTTGTTTTTCCCCCTCGTTATAAAAGGACCAATCATTAAGGACTGATTCCTCAAGTTGTCATCACGAAAATCTAAGAGCCGAATATTATAGGAAAAAACATCATCGTACATTTTACTGAGATACCTTTTTGCCCTTCGGATCTATTAGTGTGTGTAGGAGTGTGTATTGGTGTGCTTGTGTGGGCGTTTGTGTAATCGTATTTATTAGAAACTAATTATCATTTAATACACATCAATATAGGAAATTAACATCAGCTCGCAATTATTGAGCATTATTAAGAATATTCAAGTTGGCGATTAACCACGAGTCAGAGGACATGTATCCAAAGTTGCTAGTTTCCGGTACAATCCCAAAATAACAAGAGTGCCTAAAACTCTCGTTCATTGCCGGTGGGATACGAATAAACTTCGATTAGCAGTTACACAATTTATTCATCTCTTCTAAATATGACATAGTCTCAACATGAGTATTTCGGGTACGCAATACAAATACTTTCTGTCACGGAGTTCAACTTGCGACCGACAGATTTTTCATTTACTGCTTTTCTCCTTGTTACAATCGCAGGCTCTGCTCGCCGTTATGTTACGACTTGATGGAAAGAAAAGGTGAGCAAAGATATCCCGGCCAGGTCGCAGGTGAAAAATATATCCACTTTTTGCTCGGCTAAGTGACAGCTTCACAACTCGTCAAGGGGCAGCTGGGTGAAGGTTACAAGAGCGAACACGCGAAGCAAATTTCCTCTCACAAAGACAAGTTACACAAACAATAAAGACAGACACGCGCACACAGTCAAATACCTGTGCATAATTTTGCAATTATTTTATAGAATTTCAATGAGCAGAGTATGTGCGCTGTTTGGTTTGCAAGAATTTAAATCATTTCAAGTAGACGCCTACAAGCTAATGGCCTGTGTATGAGAAAATAATTGATATTTAGTATAGATAAAGAAAGCAGGTAATCTCTAGCTAACAATACTGACAAAATGGAATTGTTATGTTGGATTACATTTTCGCTGCACCGAAATATCCAATATCAATATTGAAACATACGTAACAAAAAAATCAATTTCCTCCCAGAAATGATGTAAAAGTTACGGTTGCAAGAACCAACTAATTAACAATAAGAAAATTTTGGAAGCGGTGAAAACAAGGAAAAGAAACTCATCGATAGCATGGATCGACTACAGAAAGGCGTTCCAGTCATGGATAGAGAAAAGCCTAAAAATATACGGCGTATGCTCCACAACGCTCAAATTCATAACGGAGAACATGAAAAGCTGGAAGACTACACTAAACCTAAAACATACAAATGGGTCATTAACATCGAGACCAATCAACATCAAAGCGGGATCTTCGAAGGAAATTCATTGTCACCACTACCCTTCTGCCTTGCATTAACGCCACTCAGCTGCCTACTGAACAAAAGTAGCCACAGATACAATTCACAGAATGGAAAACTGAATCACCTATTCTATACTGATGATCTTAAAACGTTTACCAAAGTAATACAACCAACAGAAAAACCCACTCACTATTGTCAAAAACTTCGGCGAATACATTAGAATGGAGCTCGGAAGTTTATAGAAGACTGCGTCTGATGCTAGAAAGCGAAATTAATGGAGCCAATAAAATGAGGCTATCAACACTATAGCTATACCCGTAGCTTCAACATTATGAAATAGAAATTGTATGACATTAAAAGATTGGACGCTAAGACTAGAAAAGTGCTTACCCAAATGAGGATGCACGACCAGAAATCAAATGTTGATAGGCTGTACGTACCAAGAACTTAGGATGCCGAGATCTAATACAACTTTAACTCTAAAACCTACTAAATTGACTGGAAGTATACCTCACAAAAAACAATGACCCTCTCCTACAAATAGTAAAACACCAAATCCACTCCATCAACAAAGCCTCTGCACTCTTCAAAAACAGTTTAATGTACCTGAAATGCTACCAACGAAACCGAAGCGAATACGATCTACGCCAAACGAGTAGTAGAGAAAATAAAACAACTTGGCCAAATGAATTCCAAAAACTGGGAGAACAAAAGGCGTTGCATGGCAAATACCTAAAAAGAACGAAAGAAGCAGATATGGACCAACAGAAAACCCATCAGTGGGCTGAAAGTTGAGACAGAATTCCTAATTATTGCAGCTCAGAACCAAAATCCTATCACTTTCACATAATCAAGGATGGAACTAACCTGAAATGCAGGATCTGTGGAAAATATGATGAAATTGCCGACTTATTATCCCAGGATGTGCTGAACTAGCAAAAATGAATGGTATAACAAGGTAGCGCCATATGTGCACTGGAAGATATGCAAGAAACCCAAAATCTAAACCACTGAGAGATAGTATGAGCATCAACCAGGCACAGTTACCCAAAATAACGATGTAACTATCCTCGGTTTGATGCCAATTCAAACTGACAGGGAAATAAACACCAACAGACCTGATATTATCATAAAAGACAAGAAATGCAGGACATAGCATTACCATCTGAGAACACACCCCCCCATGAAAATTATCGAGAAATTGTCCAAATACAAGGACCTGGAGATAAGATTAACAGGATGTGGAGAATGAAGACTGAAACTGTAACAACAGCTTTGGGTCTCGTGAGAAAAGGAATAGACATTTTTACTAACAGTGTCACAAGTAACATCAACAGAAAATTCTGGTTGCCCAGAAAATCGCCATACGAGGAATATCCCGTATACTAAGATAAGTGCTATCAACTAAATGGCAGTTATTTTATAGTGCCTAAGAACCATACTTTGGACCCTGCTCTATAGAATGCAAAGCAGGAAACATAACATACACAAATAATAATAATAAATTCATAAACAACAAATAAATATCCCGTTCAGTGATTTGCTTGTCAGTTGTCTTATCTTAATCTGTCCTAAGAGGAGCAAATAAAACGTACATCTACGTTCAAAATAGTGGTCGAGTGTCATGAGAGTTATTTTATTTAAGTTTCAAGGATAAAGCAATCAATGCTATTTAGGAGTCACATCTAGATGCTTAGTAACACCATCAGACCCGTCTGAGCTGACCGAGGTTACCAAGTCGGAAGTTATTTCCAACTGGGCCTCATCTACAAGGTTATGGGTTGTCGCCCATATATCGGGCACATTTCGCTCTTATGCATATGCATGGTATGCCCTTAGATTGGAATCTGTGAGGTGTATATTGTGCTACTTTGTTGGCCTGCTGCTCTCTAAGTAACAATAATAACAGGGATAATGAAGAAAAACAATTGCAATGGCAACAAAAAGAAGAACGTTCGAATATGGAACTTTTCCTAGAGCATGAACAACATCATCTGTTTTCCTTATATGGAATTTGTATTTTTATGAACAGAGGAAGAAAGCAATACCTACTTCATTTTTAATGCCAACAAAAAATTATCCCGATTTATTCTCATTTGTTCTATCTTGCTAAATCAAAAGGTACAGCGATAAAATAAAGAAATATTTTAATTAAAAAGAAACTATCAGATCTTTAAATCAAATGACACGTAAATATTGTCACTGAACTCCTGAAATTGTTCTCATATTTGCAGTGACCTTGGCAGATGATCGGTCACAACAAGCTACTATCACCATGCGACGTTTGTAAATAGAGTCACGTTACAAATGTGGATAAGATGATGATTACAAAAACAAGTCAATAAAATAAAGATAAAAGAAATCCCAACAATAATAATGATAATAATAAAATTTAATTCCCAATAATCATGTAATAATAATCTTAAGTATAATTAAATTTAATAATTAGTTTCAGTATTCGTGCGTCTAACATAATTTTGAATAGGATAGGCAATGAAGATATGAAGAGTAGAAAGTTAAGCTAATGTTATTCACATAGATAGGAAAGTATAAAGAAAAAACTGGAAGTGCTAGGAAGGATACATGAGTTCACCATTTTTCTCGGATTTTCTGTGGAAAGCCCCCGTTGAGAACATGATTATAGATGAGTCACTCGGATGATGAGTTACCGGAAGCTGGAACAATCAACAGGGGATATGCTGTAAAATTAGCACTAGAAGTTCCAGTCATTGCCGACACTGTCAGGCAATCGAACACAGCAACTGATGCAAGTTATGAATTAGAACTAAAGGATATCTCTCTCTCTCTCTCTCTCTCTCACACACACACACACACACACACACACACACACACACACACACACACACACACACAACAAATTCATTAAGCTGTTTTCTTTTTCTTCACGAAAATATGTGAAGAAGTAGACTTACTGTGCAATAATTAAAGAAAATCAAAGAAAAAGAGAAAATATAATGATCATCGCCCGAAATAAAACAAATAATAAAAACAAGAATAAACACATCTGGTCTGTAGAAATTTTGTGGATACGTCGTTCATACTACACGAAGTTGAACATCTTTGCATTATGTATTTACAGATTACTTTGGAACGAGTTTTGCCACCACTTTTGTCCCAGTTTGTTAAACCAAGATTTGACAGTAAACAACACTTTACATACTTGAAAATCCTTATACAATTCATGAATGACAATAAGAATACAATAAGAAATCTTCTTCGACATACAGTAACCAATATATTGAGTCGTTAGCATAAAATGACATTCCTAAGACTTTAACGCTAAACTTAATTGATTCTCATCCGTTCATAAAAAGCAAAAATTGACGTTTTAATTAAATGATAGCAGAACTCTAAATATCAATAGAAACCTTTAATAGAATGTCAAATAAGAAGAATCTCAGTAATGTATCATATAATCCAGTTGCGAGAGAAGCAAAACTTTGAACTGAAATTAGGTTGATCACCGCCAATGAATATAAAAAATCGAAATCTTAAAAAAATGAAATAAAGAATGTTGGATTTACCGAAATTCTGGAACAAAGAAATGAGTGAACATAATTTGACTTTTATTTTTGTAAAAGTATCTCTTGTTTCTTGCATTGGGTTTTCATATATTCGTTCATTTTCGTTTTAAAATTACGATTTATCATTCATTACTCATGTCTTTTTTCTTAAATATTTTCTTTCAATATGCTTCGAAAAATATATTTATTCTATCATTCTATTTCCTTCTATTTTTTATTCTTTCATTCTATTTCCTTCTCTTTTTTATTCTTTCATTCTATTTCCTTCTCTTTTTTATTCTATCATTCTATTTCCTTCTATTTTTTTATTCTATCATTCTATTTCCTTCTCTTTTTTATTCTTTCATTCTGATCATTTCATTATGCGTAACTTCATTTATCCTTCCCTTTTCAATTCATTTTCATACACTTGGAATATTTTACTTTCATTCTTTTCAATTCCAAGACTCGTGTTCTTTTTCCTTCACCATTCTTTTATTCCTTTCACGCCCGACTTACTTTCATTCTTTTTCTCTTTCAATTTTTCCTTCTTTTCGCTTATTTCTATTTTTTCTTTTACTCAAAATATACATTTTTAATTTTGATTTCAAAAGAAGAACTTCAAAATAAAATGTCAGATTTAATTAGAGTCAAAAACAGCACAAATGTTACATACATACAATTACATACGTACACACACGCATATACAGAGTGTAGTGGACAAATTGTCGCCATTTATATTTTAATTTCACGCATGCTCGTTTTTTGTTTTTGATTTTGTCGACTGCTCAGTATAGTAAGGGTCAGTTGGACACCATCTGTGAGAAAAAGAACACCATGACGAAATTTACTCCGCCAGAAATTTGGAAACGGCACATGATGTAGATCTCCTTGTTGATCTCCTATACAGCATGACATTCGTGCCGGAAGCGCCAATATGAACATTTCAGAGTGTTTGGGTGTCAATCTAAGGACACGGCAGAGGATTCTGAAAGGGTTGGATGAGTCCAATAGTGATTACGAAGGTGCTTGGAGTGATCACTACTGTTGGTGAGGTTATGCCTACATTCATCTTCCCACGGGGCCTCAGACTCAATATCATGTGCTTTGAGGAGGTAGTGCTGTCCTGGGTCAAGAGGGTGGCTGCTAGAAGTCCCTATATCTGGCAACAAGACTCTGCACCATGCCATATAAACAGGAGAACCCAGTCATGACAATTTCTGCCACCATATCATCCCTTACACCTGTCCACTTAACTCCACAGAGTGCAAACCCATTGATTATTATGTGTGAGCGATTGGCCAACAAAACTCCTTGTGACACCAAAGATGAAATGAAGGCAAGGATTATGATAGCATTCACCAACTTAAACAAGGAGACCGTCTAGTAGAATGGCAGGAGATTTCGAAGTCGTCTTGAGGCCGTGGTTGAAGCCAATGTACCCAGTACAGCATATAATATTACAGACATAAAAATCATCAATGCATCGGGACTGTCCGTTTCAGCCATTAAGCAATCATTATGTCATATATCTACAATATATCCCCGATATTGAGCATAGTTCCCGACAAATAAAACAAATTTTAAATATATTCACTTTCGTCATAACTTCTGTTTAGACAAGAGATCAGATAATTTTTGACTTTCCTTCTCTCTCATTCTCTCATTCTTTGTCTCTTTCCTCATATATATATATATATATATATATATATATATATATATATATATATATATATATATATGCCCTTGTGAGGGATGTACATGTGATATCAATTTACATCATTCAAAAAATATGTTAAATGTCCGAAAAAACTACCGTAGCAAAACACGGACGTATAATAAAGGGCTCAATAATGTGCGTTAATATACGGTGTTTTTACCTCTTTTTATATATATATATATATATATATGTGTGTGTGTGTGTGTGTGTATATGTATGTATGTATATATATATATATATATTTATATATATATTATATGTGTGTGTGTACATATATATATATATAGATATAGATAGATAGATAGATAGATAGATAGATAGACAGACAGACAGACAGATATCCAAGTAAAGGATTGGTGTATACGGAATAAATTCCAATAAGCAAAAATACTATTCTTAATAGAGAGCTCAATACAGAGTGGAGCAAATAATTTTTTGGGAAAATTATAACATAAAAATGTTATAAAATCACTACAAAAATATCCATTTTGTTTCAACACTTCTGGTGTCTTATCAAGTGGTGGTGTTGAATGTTGAATCTACATTCAACACCATCAACACATGTAATCACTAAGTACAATGCTTACTGAATTTTGTAAGTTTTTCATCATTTTAAACCATTGGCGATTTTCAGTAAGGAAGATCATACGTGCAAACATCTTCAAAAGCAGGAGACATCAATGATAATTATTTTTATCTAGGAAATAAATGTACTTCTTTTAAAAATATTTTTGTATAGTCAATTTAATAAATTAGAAACAAATCACTTGCAGTTGTGTATGTTAATCACTCTCTCATCAGAGATAATATTATGCCAGTAATTCATTTTTTTTTTTTAATTAGAGAAGGAATCTTTTCTCTAAAGAAAAAAAACGACTCTTTCCCATTTTGAAGGCTGGTTTTGAAGCACATTATCTTTTATTGGGAACATCGCTGCGGTAAATTTCCTCGATTAATTTAGTATTGCGGCCCGCCTTGTGATGTACGACCCACTGTTCGTAAATGGTGGTCCATGCCTGCTGTAACCAATCTATTTCCATCGCTTGTGAACATTCTTTTAAAAAGTGTGTCGTTTTTGTTGCGTTTGAGCAAAGAAATGTAGTTGGAAATGCGTTCCATGAATTTTTCAAATTAAACTATGATTTAGACAATTATTGTAGAGTTTTATATGAATGGCTTGCAACATGAGATATGTGGAGTATCACCGCAATGTTCTGTGCCGTGAGACATGGATTATTTTTAATCAGCGTTTCAATTCGATCATCAACGATTATAGACCTGCCGGATCATTCCACGAAGCGAATCACTTACAAATAGTACACTCAACCATGACATTAACGTCACATAGCCTTTTTGTTGTTGTTTGTGCAATGTATTTTTTCTTTCTAGAAATAAAAGAGCATCGAATGACAAAAATGCATTTAATTTTCTTTCCTTTTCACATTTAAAGTAAAAAAAATCATATTCACAATCCACATAAATCATATAAAAAGACGCATTGAAATTTTAAATTTTCAAAATGTGTATCTATGTCATGTACGTATGTTGTGATGTAATGAATATTGAATCGGAATGAAAAATCAGAAAACCAAGTTCGAATTCTAGTCAGGTTCGTTGCATTCACTTACGTGCAAATACCGTTGAGATAAGTATGACTCCATCTCTTCTCCCCCACCTCCACCACTACTAGCTATTGGTTGAATAGAAGGACAGACTTTGTTCTATAGACTGGGTTTTGGGGCAACCAGAGTCTATCACAGAAAGAAACAGCAAGCTACTGGGGGAAAATTTTCTGCCTAGTCAGTCATGAATCGAAAGAGACATGATCGTCCAAGCATGTATCACGTATAGCACTTAACTGTCGGATCTATGTCACAAATTTCAGTTACGTGTAAAGCGAAATCACGTGATCACACGCCACATACTAAAAAGCACCTTGAACTTTAATTTCCTGAAAATAAAAAGCATAATATGCTGAACTTTTGTTTATTTTCTCCCTTCTTATGTCAGAATCGACCAAAATTACATCGATTTTGAATTTTATAAATTGTATGCTGTCCTAATAGCCTCAAAATCTATTTTAATGCAATTTTTTAAAACTAATTTCTTTTAATAGGGTTTAATACAAAACTGAACGAGCTTTTATCGTAACCCAATATTATGATAAAAGATATCGGAGATTAATTGTATTTTCTGATGGCATTAAAAATTAACATCCAAAATAAATTGTATTTTTTTAAACAGATGTCTTTTTACTGAAGTTATTTGCCACATATCCATAGATATGAAAAAATTGTGTTTGTTCGCGCCCTACAGATGCTGAAACAAGAACAAAAAACGAATTTAGGAGCTGTTAAACCACTAGGTGGTTTCGTTTATTGTATCCTCCGATCAACAGATATTACTTTCGAGGCGTCTGTTGCTATCCTCTCTCTGTTCATAGTTGCAACATTAACTTCATCATACATTTTCTTAATGATCAAGCCATTTTTCTTGCTCATTGCATTTTAAAAGTTTTAGATTTTTCTTTTTGTGACATTCTTAAGGCTAATTTATTTATTTATTTTTTTGGTTTTCGTTTGACTGTTTTCATATTTTTTATTCTGTGATTTTTTTTCAACTTTTCGCAATTCCCAATGTTGTGTTCCCATCACTTTACAGAATCTTTTTATTCTTTTGAGTTTATATTTTCTTTCGATTATAGAATTGCATTATATCTTATACCATTAAAAATATTACTGTAATAAAAATATGAAATTCATGTGTTTAATTTCATCATATAAATATATCATGAATATTTTACGAACATCAGCTGGTTAATATTAAGTTTATTGAGAAAACATTGATTTTTGTAATAGTAGAGCCTAATAGATATATATTTGCATATGTATGCGACTTGCATTATATGTACGTTTTTAGGAATAATCACATCTGTTTTGGTTTTGTGGGGGGGGGTGAGTGTGTGGGGGGTGCATGTGTGTATACACGCATAGTATAAAATAAGAAAAGTCTATGTTAATACTTACATTCACAATAATGAAAGTTTTCTTAGAAATCTGAACGAAAATCTCTAGCCAACACATTCCTTTATTAATTTATACCGAAATGTTCCCGGACTTTCTATTTCAATAAATAATATATTATAGATGCTACTTAAATTTAGTTTCTTAATTATCTCTTTTGAAATACACAGTTTTTTTATTAAAATCATGTAATCTTAGCTGAGCCTTGTTAGGCTTAACAAAATCTCAAGTTTCAGCTTTATTTGAAGCTTATAATATCGCCCCAATAAAAGTTAGAAATTCCAGTTATTTTCCGTAAGTTGCGTTAGAA